AGAGAGAGAGAGAGAGAGAGAGAGAGAGAGAGAGAGAGAGAGAGAGAGAGAGAGGGGGGGGGGGGGGGGGAGAGGGGGGCAGACAGACAGATGGACAGAGGCCGACAGGGGCAGACAGAGGCAGACAGAGACAGACAGACAGACAGACAGACAGACAGAGAGACAGACAGAGAGACAGACAGACAGACAGAGAGACAGACAGAGAGACAAAGGATGATGCACACCTACGATATACACGTTGTGCAGAAGACTCCAACCTAGCAAACATCCAACCAGGATGAGTCACCAACACTTCACTGTTCTGAGCTCTCTCAATGCTCTACTAATGCCTAAGTCAACCCTCCCCTCCCTGCCTAGCACCTCCTTCCTGTCCCCCTTCCCCACCCATCCCACTCGTCTCCATCACTTACTCGCGCCCCCTTGCCTTGTATACGGGTGCACAGCATGTCAGTTCTGATCTAAAGAGAGAGCAAACAACTTACCTTAGGCTTGTAATGGCTCAAATGCGCACACAACTTGCCGACGTTGTCGTCATGAAGGCAAAAAGCCCCTCATTCATTACGTGTCCGAGCGAATACCAGCTTGAGGATTTCAGTGCACTTCAGAATCTCCGATTGCATGCTTCTTTGCAACACCTGATCTAAGACTTGTTTCTCCACTGTGTGTTGTCCCACCTTGCACTATCCATTGGACCACGCGACCAGGGTTGCTTTGTTTGGGCTCCTCTGGTGCCAAGGGTTGCCTTGTTTTGTACCTAGGTTCAGGCATTGGAACTGCTTCATCGATTCTGCAGCTTGCGCCATGGGTCGTTAGGCTCTGTACTTGGGTGTCCCGAGTTCCAGTCCTCGGCGCTTTAATGCCCGCACCTGCGTCACTGGTCCCATACATGGTCCCACGGCGAGTTTCTTTGTACTTTTTATGCACACCACTCCTTATCGCCCCGACCCGACTCCTTTAGACCAAGCTGCCCTGCTCCTTTACCTTGCCGGACAATTACTCCAATCGGCGATCGCCCATTTCTAATCCAGAGTTCAGAATCCAGACTAAGTTCTATATCTTGAGGTCCCACATAAGTCCCACAGAACTCCATGGCTTGAGGTCCCACAGAAGTCCCACAGAAGTCCCACTGAAGTTCCACAGAACTCCATGCCTTGAGGTCCCACAGAAGTCCCACAGAAGTCCATACCTTGAGGTCCCACGGAAGTCCCACAGAACTCCATACCTTGAGGTCCCACAGAAGTCTAATCACCTGAAGCCTTAAACAAGTAGAGCACCATTTGCCGTGTTAGATGCAATGAACGCTCACTTTGTTCTTCGGTGCACCTAGGCAGGCGCGGTGGCAGAGGGTGCATGACACCAATGCTTGATCGCTTAGGTAAAATCACTTGCGGAAAAACGCAAGCGCCCACCCGCTGTGGGCTAGATTCTAGGTCTACTGTCTGTGTTGGGAATCTGGCTGTTAGAACTGTCCAGTGAGTAAATTATTACACTACAAGACAAGATATTGGCCATCCGATTTCCCGTCAAATCCTAGACATAGGACCACATAAGAACAGGAGAACATGACCCTAGTGACTGGTACCAAGCCAACGCGGTGCTAATAGACCATGAGAAGGTTGTTCATGACAAGGCCCTCCCCTACAACAGGCAAGTTCGGCGAAAGCATCCATTCGCCGTCAACAAGGAACTTGATCTCATACCTGCCATGATCAACGGCAACAAAAGACATGGCCACACCAAAGTTAGAACGACCAACCTTGTATCAATGGACATGCCAGGGCTGCCATGCACTACTCTCTCTCTCTCCCCATCTCAAACCCCCCTCCCTGCCCCTCTCCGTGCAACTCTCTCTCTCTCTCTCTCTCTCTCTCTCTCTCTCTCTCTCNTCTCTCTCTCTCTCTCTCTCTCTCTCTCTCTCTCTCTCACACACACACACACACACACACACACACACACACACACACACACACACACACAAACTCACATACTCGTTGACGCCCTGGTGTGTGCCTCAAGAAGTAGAAATAACCGTTGCCTGCATTCCCTCGACATTGTCATCACTTAAAAAGACATCCATTGGGCAACTTGCCTAGGCTAAGCGCAGTTGGTAGACCCGTGAACTGTTCACATGCAGACCGGAGTTCGAATCCAGATGACTGAAAATAGCTAAGAATTTACCAGGGGCGGGCAGCTCAAAGATGATACCTCAAGGCCGTAGCCCTTTTGAGAAGTGTGGGGCATCAAGGCCCCCCCGGCAGACCCCAAGCGGGGACCCAACCCAAACGGCTGGCGGTGGAAAAGACCGCCGCGCCCCTATCCCTATGTGACAAGGCAAGTGTCCTGACCCCACGCCCGTCAGTTACATTACAGTGCGGGGTCAGGACACTTGCCTCGTCACATAGGGGCCCTGCGGTCTTTTCCACCGCCAGCCTTTTGGGTCAGGACACTTGCTTTGTCACATAGCGGCCCTGCGGTCTTTTCCACATAGGGGCAGTTGACCACATAGGGCCAGGCCGTGACATGTGACCAAGGCATCAGGGCACCAGAGCTTCCCCCTGGCTGCGATTTGGCACAAGGCCTTTCGGCCAATGAGCGGACGCAGTGTGCAGCGATGGGCCATGTCGGGAAGTTGAGCCCGGCAATTGAACAGGGCCCAGGGCACATTCGGCACAGGTCCCAGGCCCAGATACCGCGAGTGAACGTGAATCTATAGGGAACCAGTCAAGCACACCCAGGCAGGGCCCAGGCAATGTGAGCTTTCAATAAAGGGAAGTGCTGGGCACCGGTCCAGACGCTTTCTGGCCGCTGGTTCATGCTGCATGAGCCGTGCTGGGGCGCACGCTGTGCTGGAGCGAGCGCCTGGGCAGAGCCTGGACGCGTACGCACGGGCGCTGGTGTTGAGCGCTCCTCGAAGCGGCGCTGCACATCGGCCATGGCCGGGCCATTCGTGCATGCAAGCCGGTGTCGTTGGAAGGTGGTCCTCGGGCATGGTGGTAAGCCTTTGAGGGGACAGTCGTCAGAGAGTGAGCATGGGAGAGAGCAGGACGTATACATGGTGTGTCATGGAGGTCTGCACGGGCGACATCTTCATATGCATCAGTTCCGCTGCTGAAGTTCTTCTGGTTGCGTCGTCATATAGTGTAGGCTAGGGTAGGTGTCGTGACTCCGTGGTTCGGCACCAGGCGCCAGTTGAAAGAGCGACATTGGATACACTTTTGAAGTTTCGACATTGAAAGTTGAGTTCATTGCTTTCCCCCTTTTTTTTATTATTTTTTTTCCCAATTGCTTTCCCCTTTTCTTTTTTTTCTTTTTTTCTTTTTTCTTTTCCCTTCCCCCATTGCTTCGCTAAGTTTGCTCTTATTTGGTGTGTACTTGTTGCATTCTGCTTTCTGGGCAACACACGACTAACTGATTTTCAATGTGATGGTGCAATTTCAATCTCTCTGATTCACTCTCACTCATTTTCCTTGCAGAAGAGAGATTGAACTTCTGCAAAGAAAAAACAAAGACTAGATAACCGGAAAAAGTTTGTGACTTGGGGCCAGATCCCACTGGCAAAGAGGATTGGAATAAGTGGCTGAATCTGGACGTGTTCCAGACAGAGATGCAGAAAAGCAGACCAATCACAATTTTTTGCACCTCTCCACAAACACGTCCAGATTCAGAGGCATATTCCAATCCTCTTTGCTAGTGGGATCTGGCCCTTGTTCTATTCTCTCCCTCCTGCTTCTACACCTTCAAACAGCGATCTGGATATGATTCGTCCTCTTCTTGCTGCTCTTCCCCCTTTCCGGTCGCGCAACGTGCAAACGTACGACAGGGACGTAACAGGCAGGAGAAGGGGATTGGCAGGCATGACGTGGACTTGTGAAGAAAGATGTACCAAGAGTTCATCATGCCTAGAAGCACAAAGTATTGCATATAGTTTTCCGTATCATAATCCATCTTATAATCTAGCGGACGATTCCGTAAGATGGATTACAGGAGAAGGGGCTTAGTTGGTTTGCTTTACGATTCCGGTCACTCGCCTCGGTCGTGTGTCGGACTACCAAAATAAACAAACGTGATTCGTGTTACGCGCTGGGGCGGTGGCTGGAACAAAACGAGAGAAAAAAAAAAAACCATGTGATTTGAGTTGAGTTGCATACCGGGCCGGTGTGTGGACACAACAGGAAAAAAGGGTGTGCGAAAATAGGGTGTGCACACGTTGCACCGGGTCACTAAAGCAAAAGCGAGTTGTGCTGCATGCTGACCGCGATCTGGGAGAGTCTATGGGACTCCAGGTGTCGGCCCTGAAAGTTGGGCCCACAGGGAGTGCCACACGCAGCCCGATAAGGTTATTAATAGATACTTATTATAGTCCTTCGGGACATGCGTTAAAATTGGAACGATACGGAGAAGATTAGCATGGCCCCTGCGCAAGGATGACACACATAAATCGAGAAATGGTCCAAAAATAATAATAAAAAAAGAAAATAAATAATCAATACTCATTATCTAGGCTGGTCCCCGGGCCACCCGGTGATCTGGTCATTGCTCAGGTGGGGCTGGCCGGTTGTCCCGCCCGACCGGGCGGCCCCAGTGCATCTGAGAAAGGGAGGGGGGGGAGCATTTTTCGGCGCGGGGGGGCTTTTTACCCCCACAGAAGGCCGCCCAGGCCAACAAAAAAATGTATGGGGTCCGGTAGGCCTGATTTCAACGATTTGAAATCGGGTCCGATCTTCTGCACACATGATTTCACCAATTTGAATTCGGGTCGCGCGGGGGGCCGATTTGAATTCGAACTACCGGCCCTCGTTTCCTCACCCACACGGACACTCTCCCCCCCGAAGTCACCCCGTTCCCTCCCCCACACGACACCTCACTTCGCCCGTTTCCAATCGTCCACAGCAACCCAACAACCCCTGCCAACGCCCGCCGACACCCGCCATTGCATTGCCCGTGACCCCGCTATCGCTCGCTCACCAACGCCAGTCATCGCGGTCCCCCGTGTTGCATACCGTATAGGTGCAGACCAGAACAAGAACCGACCTTTCAATACAAGGTATAAGATAGCACAGCGGAAGACTTAGATACCAGTGATCCGAACAATCAATGTTGTAATGCAGCCCTGAACATACATCATCATCATCGTTTCATAGTGTGAATGGGTCTGGCGCTTCACACAGGAAGACAGCGCCAGCCCAGAACATGCACAGACGAGGAGGAAGGGGATAGACGAAGAGGAGGGGGAAGATGGGAATATCGTCAACACCAAGTCTTCGGCACAAGCCCAAATAGTCCCTCGTCGAACTGTCTGAATCCCAAATGTCAAGTCTGGATCCAATGTCGTCAAGTCTCAAGTCACAACTCTGTCTCTCTCGGACGTAGTCTGGCGAGAGGGTGAGAAGAGAAGGTGGACTTAGAAGAGGAAGAAGAAGAACTCTCTCTCTCTSTGTGTCCAGTACTAACCTGTGAAGTTGGCGCCTTGATGCAGGTACCACGAAGATGGAGCTGGAGCGATGGCGCCACAGGTAAGTAACACTGGCCTCCGCCAGTCTCTCTCCCACTCTACGATCTACTACCTACCAGCGCCCAGCGCTGAAGACWACAGCTACAGCTATGGCGCCCAGCGCCGAAGACTACAGCTAGCGCGACCACTACTGCCCAGCGCTGAAGACTACTGCAGCGCTCCTCCTGAGTGCTGCGGCCGAATCCTGAAGACTAACCCCGCCTACTGACACTACCTCCCCGTGAAGTGCATGGGAACCTCCTATGTACTACGGGTGTGCCTCTTGAGCCTGCCGAAGGGAGGCAGGGGCTGCAGCTGCAGCTCCTGCTCGAGTACGTGAGGAACAGGCTATTTTGGGCCTGTTCCGCATCCCTGTTTCCGTGCCTGAGTCTTAGGAGCAGGTCAAAACAATGAGGGCCTRAAAATGGCCCTMCGTTTCAGGCTGAAAACTCTGGGTCTGAAAAGACCCAGAAATAGGCTGAAACGAGGTAGGGCCTGCAGGCCCTCGTTTTTCAGCATCCAGGCTGAAATGAACGGGGCCTGTAAGCCCCAAGTTTTAGGCTTTTAGGCTGAATGGCCGGGACGGGCCCTGTAGGGCCCGTGTGGCTACGCAGTATGCCACACCCGGCAGCGCCAGGGTAAGTGGGTTAGTTGGAGAGTTGGAGAGAGAG